ACTGCTGGGCCCAGCTCAGTGCCTGGTACAGAGCAGGGGCTGAATAAATGTATTTTGACCTAATGAAGTAAAGGAGGAATGACCGTCAGGGCAGCTCTGAGTTTAGCACGACGGTTGAAAACATGGGCCATAGTCTCTTTGGGCAAGTTATTTAGGCTCTTTGTGCCTCTTGCAGAATGGAGCTTAGAAGAGAGGCCAGCATAGAGTGAGCCCTAAATGGTACGTACCAACACCTTAAAAACCTACCTCTCTGCAATCACGGCATTTTCATGATCACCACATTCAATTGTTGCTTTTCTAATGCACTTACCCGGCTCACATCAATATAAATATTTCATCTAATCTCTTTGTATATTTTTAGAGCTTACTATCCTGTTTCCCTAAGTTCCCAGGGCTGACTTCTCTATCAGTGCAGGAGGCACAGTGCCCAGGGCCCACAACACTTGTAGATGCCCACAGAAGTGTTTTAATTTCTCCTAAAATTTAAGAGAGGGGGGAAAAAAAACACCTTAAACTTTAAAGAAAATGTTTACATATATAAATATATATTGTAAGGGTTAAATTGTACTGTAAAGCTAACGCTTAGCTTGAAAAATAACAACTTTGTTCTGGCACTGAAGGTCAAAAGATAACAGCCTTACTTTTACTCTTGTAAATCATACTTCATACTCTTGTGAATCAGGCTTTACTAATGAAGAAAACAAAACCTCAAAAAAAAGCGTCAGAGACAAGGTCAAGGAGATCCACTAGTTGCAACTTAGCGGCAGAAAGTCTAAAATAATCACCTCATTCGATAACTGTTTCTGACTCATCTGGCAACTATTACTAACTCATCTAGAAACTGTTTCTCTGTTCTGTTCCCAGATAATGATAAAACGATGTGATCGGCTTTAAAAACTCTGTACCCGGGCTGTTCAGGGCCACACTCTTTTCAAGAGTGTTGGTCCCGATCGGTCAGCCTTGCCTAAATTTTTCTAGACTTAGTTTGCTATACCCTAAGATTATAAAAATACTTACTAACCAGCATTTTCTCGCTTCTGTAATCTTGCTTGCTTAACACATTCCTCCCCTTCCCCCTTTTTCTCCCGCCACAAGTAACGGAGAAAGCCTTCCCGCCAAAGGACAGACAAAGGACGCCCAATCAGAGAACAACAAATGTCCTTACTTTAAAATCAACTAATCAGGCCCCTCATAATCTGAAACCTCCCCTATGCTATTTGTCTCTGTCTATAAAAACGCTGTACCAACCCTGATCAGGGCCTCTTAGCGTCACCGGCAACGAGTGCGCAGAGGTCCAGGTTCGAACCTGCAATAAACGACCCTTGCCGCTTGGCTTTGACTTACGACTCTGGTGGTCTCTTGTGGGAGGTTTTGCAATTCGGGCATTACATTTGGAGGTTTTGCAATTCGG